CAAAATACATGGTAAAAGACTGGGGTCCCAAATCACCCAACCCATGCCCAAGCCATACTCTGCTGAGCACCCAAGTCCACTGATCCTGGGCCCGCCTGCTGGGCCTAATAAACTGGCTGGGCTCACCGGCTCTAGTCCCATATACATTAAAAAAATAAAAATCATTTCAAGGAAGTTGGATCTGACTCATAGTGAGTCTATAAGCCAGGGTAGTCCGACTCTGCAGGTTTCAAAGACTATAATTCTTTAAGAGATTAGGAAACATGATCCCATAGATTGAGTATCTTGGAGGGGGTTGTAGTTTATGCACTTAGAAAATCAGAAATCTGTAAGATCAGGCTCTCTAATCTAGTAATAATACAGTAATCAAATTGAATACAAATACTTCTCATCATAGAACTGTTAGTTCATTTGGGAAGTTATATTTTGGATATGTTATAGGAGAGACTAATCCCTAGAGACGGCAGCATGCTTGGTAAAGCAGAGGGGCTGTGACACACCACACTATTATTACCCCGTAATATCAGCTAATATTGAGCTTCTCCATCATCTTTTCCGACATATTATGTCCATATGATTGCTGGATTTTCCATCTGGAGAAGTTTCATGTACATAGTTACCTTTTGTATTGTTGGGGATAAAAACCATATTTACAATGAAGAAATTAGTGGTCTTACATTCTATTTCCAGCCTCTTTTCTATCACCAAGACTATATTTTCCAACTATTGTTCTTTCCTCTTTGCTTGTAACTTTTACATTCCAGTCACTAATAATTATCAATGCACCTTGTCCAATCAATTTCTGATTGAAGACATTGGTAAAATTCATCACTAGCTTTACTGGTTCACTTTCTTTGATCTTGATATTACCGTATATGCTCGTGTAAAGCCGAGTTTTCCAGGTCATTTTTTATGCAGGTTTTGTGGTAAAATTTGTTGCCTCAGCTGATATCCGGGTCGGCTTATACTCGAGTATATATGTATTTGAAATATCAGTGATAAAGCTTTCTGTATCAGAGCAACATATAAGACACCCCACCCAGTATGACAAACTGACAGAGAAAGGGTGAGTTTTAATGATATTGTTCTGTAATTTCCTCATTCTCTTGGGTCACCTTTCTTTGGAAGCAGTACAAATAATGGATCTCTTCTAGTCACTTGGCCAAGTAACTCTTCCAAATTTCTTGGCATAGACCAGTGAGTGCTTCCAGTGCTTCATCAGTATGTTGAAGCATTTCAGTTGATAGTCCATCAATTCCTGGGGCCATATTTTCCACTAATGCCCTCATTATCACTTGTACCTCTTCCTTGTGTACTATGGGTTTTTAATCATACATTTCCTCTTGAAATAGTTGAATTTCACCACGACTTTTTTTGTATGGTACTGGTGTGTTTTCTTCATCTTCTTTTGATGCTTGCTACATTATTTAATATTGTTGCCATAGAATCTTTTCCTATTGCAACTTGACATTTTCTTTACTTTTTCAGATTGAGATATACTGAACTTGTTCTTCCTTTTTTGTTTTTTATTTCCAGGTCTTTGTGCACGTTTTGTTATAATACTTTACTTGTTTTTTCTGAGATGTTCTTCAAAATTTCTGTTGGCTCATTTATCTTGTCATATCTTTCATTTCTTTTAGCTGCTGTATGATCAAGATGAAATTTCAGGGTCTCTTCTGACATCCACGTTCATCTTTTATTTCTTTTTTGAGTTTTTAATGCCCTTTCGTTTTATTCGTGTATAATTATACTTGATGTCGTCCTACAGGTCCTCGGGTCTTCTGCCATTAGTCTTCAATGAGTCAATCTATTCTTGAGATAATCTAGAAATAAAGGTAGGGTATAGGCAAGGTGGTATTTTGATTCTCATGGACTTCTTTAAACTTTCCTCCACTTCAATCTGCTCTTACCCCTGTGTAACTGATGGCTTGTTCCACAGTCAGTCCCTGGTGTGATTTTGAGCTTCTCCATGTTCTCTGCCCACAGATACAGTTGGTTTTAGTCCTGTGACTTCCATCTGTTGAGGTACATCTGTATATTCACTGTTTATGTTCTTATAAATCATATGTGCATGAAGGTATTGATTTTTCAAAGTTCTATTATGTGAGCTTCAAATTCATTTCTATCATATTTTCAAACTTCTATTTAAAGGCCATTATTTCAATCTACTGTTTCTTCTCTCTGTTTCCAACTTTCACTTTCCAGTCAATAATAATAATTATCAATGTATCTTGATTATATGTTTCACCAATTTCAGACTGAAAAAGTTCCTAGAAGTCTTCAATTGATCTATTACTAGCTTTAGTGATTCATGTGTACATTTGAACACGTGTTATAATAATCGGCTCTCCAGGTAGATGCCATTTCTCTTCAATTTGTCATTTCTGGCATAGGAAACCATATAACTGTCTGATTCCAAATGCCCAATACCAATTAATTTTATCTTGATGAATGTGAATATTGATCTTTGTGAATTCCATTTTATTTGTGATGACTTCTAATTTTCCTAGGTTCATACGTTTTACACTCAAAATTCGAGGTATTAATAGATATAATAGCTGTTTCTTCCCATTTTGAGTTGTGTCCCATCAGCAAACGAAGGTCCCAAAGGTTTTACTCCATCCATGTCATTATGGTGGACTCTACTTTGACAAGGCAGATCCTCATTTGTCCTGCTGTGATGGTTTCTGCTTTGAAGGGCTCATCTCGCAATGCTATATCTGACAATGTTCTGTCTCTATTAATAATGTTTTCAGTTTATCTGACATTGTTCAATTGTTTTTCATAAGGTTTTCATTGGCTAATCCCGCTGACATGGATAGCCTGCTCTATGGTCTGTTCTTAGTCTGGAATCTCCAGTGAAATCTGTTAGCATTGGGTGACCCCACTGGAATTTAAAATACCTGGGACAACATCACAGCAACATGTATACCACCACAGTATGACAGACTAACAGAGACATGGTGGAAACAAGGAGAGAAAATATGTGAATTTTTTTTTCTCTTAGAAACATTTTTAACTCTTTAGTTGGGAATGTTGCTCCAATTTATGAGTAATATCTTAAATAATGTACTGGTTTCTATTATTAGTTTAATATTATTTTTACATTAACAGACCACCCAGGCTTCCCTCACTTCTGAAACTAGCTGAAAGTTCACAGGTCACTCTCATTTCTGACCAAATAACTATAAATGCAGTGGTTCTTGCTGTCCCCTCAGGTTCCTTAATGCACAGAACAACTACTGAGACTCAGGAAAACAATATATTCATGATTAAAATTTTATTATAGAGCAAGGTTACAAAGTAGACCCAAGTAAATGAAAAGATGGATAAACTGAGTTCTGTAATGGCTGCGAACATGAAGGTCCTGTGTATCCAAGACATGCTAACCTCCTGGTATATACATATGTGACAATTCACATAACATAGCCATTCAGAGAAAGCTGCACCCAAGCTGCAGTGTTCTTGAGTTTTGAATTACTCATGCAGGGCCCTGCATGGTACAAATAGTTTATCTTTGATTGTTAGGCAAAAGGTTGGTGGTGCAGAGCCTCCCAGTGGTCCTGCAAATAAAAATCCTGGAAATATGTTTCTGTAAAAAACATATTCAAGAAAACCCTATGGAGCATTTCTATTGTGTATCATGAATTCTTTACATGACTTGGGAACTACTTGATAGGTATGAGATGAGATTATATAGACATGTTTGATTGAATCAATAGGCATAGGGTTGAATGCAGTCTTCATCTCTTACCCTCCTTGGGAGTCTGGCTGATATCAACTAGCTCTAACCATCAAATCATGAAAAGAGTCTGTCATGATAACCCATCTGGAGCATCTCTATTGCATTTTCGAACTATGGGTCAAGAACGAGTCATTTTGTTAGTATAAACTATCAGATATGGCTCAGGTCAACTAAGGTTAGCTAGGCAATCAAAGAACTCAGGAAATTCTGAGGTTTTTAAGTTACCACCTGAGAACCAGCAACAATAGCCAGAGCTGTCTTCTGTAGAGTTTATTCTTCATTAAATCTGCAATCCATGAAAAGTTACTTTTGAGATGATTTTCCTCAAAGCCCCCATTATGTCCTTGTTCCTCAGACTGTAGATGAAGGAGTTCAGCATGGGCGTGACCACAATGTACATCACTGAGGCTATTGCACTTTTTCTGGGAGAAAGAGTAGCTGCAGAGCTAAGGTAGACTCCAAAAACTGTACCATAGAACAAGGATACAACAGAAAGGTGAGAACCACAAGTAGAAAAAGCTTTATACTTTCCACCAGCTGATGGGATTCTTAGAATGGCAGAGGCAATTTGAGTGTAAGAGAAAATGATTCCAAGGAGTGTAATGCCACCCCAAACACTAGTTACAAAATATTCTAGGATGTTATTGATGAGTGTATCAGAACAGGCTAACTTAAGGACATGACCAAGTTCACAGAAGAAGTGAGGGATGTCCAGGTCTGTGCAGAAGGAAAGCTGCAACACCATCAGACTGTGGAGCAGGGCATTCATGATACTAATGACCAAGGACAGTATAATCAGTAGGCCACAGAGTCGGGGATTCATGATGACTGTGTACCTCAGTGGCTGACAAATGGCCACATAGCGGTCATAGGCCATTGCTGCAAGGAGGCAATTTTCCAAACCGGCAAAAATCAAACCAAAGCAGATCTGAGTGAGGCAGCCTGTGTAACTGATAGACTTTCTCTGTACATGAATGTTTACCAACATCTTGGGGACGGTGGTCGTGCTGAAACAGATGTCATTGAAGGACAAGTTGGAGAGAAAGAAGTACATAGGGGTATGGAGGTGGGAGTCTGAAATGACAGCCAGGATTATAAACAGATTTCCAATCACAGTAATCAGATATATAGTCAGAAACAGCCCAAAAAGGAGGGGCTGCATTTCTGGATCATCTGAGAGGCCCAGGAGGAGGAAGTCTGCTATACCTGTTTTGTTTTCTAATTTCATCCTGATGTTTCTGAAAAGATAATAGAGGAGATAGGACAGGTAATGTAGTCCTTATTTTGGAGAACTTGTTTTATCTATATTGTGAAATATTGTAAACATTAGACCTCTCTCTCTCTGGCTTCTGACTGCTATGTCAGCCATTTGAATTCAACAGCTCCTCCACTGGAAGAAGTGGCTTCCTGCTCACATAAAAATCTTGTAGCTTTGGAGACACAAGGGGGGCATTTCTCCTATGTCTTATTGGGTTGCTATGACTTGAAATCAAACAGAAGGTATTGGGATTGGTTTGGTTCTATACTGTGAACAATTTATAAATACATTGACATATATAAGACACAAATACTAAAGGAACTGAAGGTCAAGTTCATCAGCGCATGGTCCAGTAGACTGACCAAGTGTTGAAGGCCATGGCTACATTAGCCTTCTAACCATCAGCCAGTCCTCAAAAACAAGAATATTAAAAGAAATAAATATGAAGGCAATAGTTTGAACAACACAAGAGAATACTATGTGGTTTGAAATCAGGAAAGGTGTGCATCAGGACTGAATCTTTTCATCCTACTTTCTCAATCTGTAGGATGAGCGAATAGTCTGCAAGCTGGATTATGAAGAAGAGCATGCCATTAAGATTGGACATGTTAGATGTCAGCAGCTCTTTGACTTCATTGTTTCTTCCATTTGCTTTAGCTACTCTAAATAACAAGTTTCAGAGGTGCTTACATCTGACACCACTTTGGTCTTTAGTGGGGTTTTTTTTGAACTTTTTAAATTTTGGATTGAGTGAAAATTTAAAAAGCAGAAACTTTAAAAAGTTTCATTAGCAATTCATACTCATGGCTGCAGGGAGTTCCTGAGGCAAGTCTTTCTTCTGAGTTCATTTTGGCCTAGAAATTCCAAATTAAGCCCATTCAACATCATAGGAATATGTAAGCAAGCAGGTTTGCACATGAGGTCTCTTGACTGGGCAGGAAATCCTAGTGCCCTTTGTGGAAAGCAACAGTTCTGCCTCTTTCTCATGAAAAACATTATTATGATCATTTTATGTAGAGTTCAATGGCCTAGACAAACTCTGGTTAACCACTGAGGGATTTGGGGCACTACCCATGGAGTGTTGACCACAGGCAACAACAGAATTTATCAGATGGTGGAAGATTTGAAATAAGACATACCTGATTTTATTACACTATTTTATTCCCTCATGATTTGCTTATTCTCTCTCCAACTGATGGATATTGTAATGGAATCATATGCATTCATACATGCAGTTAAAAAATATGCAGCCAGGCACCCTTGCTTTATGGGCAAGGACAATTTTATAGCTCTTTAAAGATTTGATCTTCCCACTAGTATCCACAAAATCAACATAGATCTTAATAGGGATATTGCAAAGATGAGAAATGACTAGATAAAATTCTTGGCATAAGAGATCCTTTCAGTATTTCCTATTCTTACTTTATTTTTGCCAACAACACAACTGGACTACATGGCCTGATTCATTACAGAGGGACGTGACAGGTGGGTCAAGAGGGAGAGGAGAGAAAGAAAGAACACCTTTGGGATTTTAATTTCAAGGAAGAGTCGATGTGCTAAATTTCTGCTGGGAATGTTGCTCTTACATGAGGAGCAAGTGAAGAGAAAAACCAGTGAAAATCACTGATATCAATGGTTGGTGTAACTACATGGTGAAATAGATAGCAATTCAAATGAATAAGCTAGACATGGATTTCTCAACATAAATAATAAAACTTCAAAAGAGAAAAGTAATTTGTTTAGCAAAACATTGCTAGCACACAAGAAAATGTTTAAAAGTTTTAAAATGACTAGATTTCATACATTTTCTTTTTGGTTATGAGTTATTTTAAGCATAACATAAAGTGCTGAGAAAAGATAATAAAGAACTGCTAATCCATCTCACTCAGCAACTTGCAATAAAAATATATTGCTATACTTGTGATAGCTATTTTTAAATCAATCAAGTCATGCACATTTATTTTCAATTCTCTGGCCCCCGCCCCCCACATTCTTTTTATCTCTCTGTGAGAAAACAGGTGCACTGAACTTGAGTTGGAAATTTTCTTGTAATTTAAATACCTTTATTTTGATTCTATCCATACACATTTTTTTGTTTTGCATTTACTGTATGTATGGATATATGTAATTTTACTATTGTTTTTTGGTAATATTGTAACATGATTTAGAAATCTTGCTACACTTTTCTCTGGTCCATTAGCTTTAAATACCTTAAAGCTGTCCTATTCTATCACTGTGTTATTCTATCACAATTTATTTATTCCTCCTCCAACCAATTGGCGTTTTCATTGTGTCATACACACACACACACACACACACACACACTATTTAAAATAATGCCTTTAGACTAATCATTATCCAGACTGTGGTTGCTTCTAAGAAGGGGTGAATGGGAAACTAAAGAGAATAAAAATTTACCATCTCTTCACATATTACTTTGTTGAAGCAAAGAATAAAAAAAATTAAGAGACTAATATTTCTTCACTCATAAAGCACAAAGAGACCGTATGTATGTCAGTTCTTCCTTTTAAAATATTGTGTAAGTTAGCAAAGAGACACCAATAGACTATGGGTAAAGATTACCTGATTCTTCAGGTCCTCCTCTTGAGTTCTTATACCTGATAGCAGGGTAGAGATCAAACACTTCCACTACAAAGACATATTAGGGACTAGCTATTACATTGAGGGGATTGCAATGAGTGAGATGAAGCAGTATGTTATAAATCACTGGATGTAAAACTGATCATCTTCTCTGTACCATTTCAACCAATTCACAATACAAATTAGGGGGGGCGGAAAGGCTCAGAAGAAGCAAACTCTCCATCCTGTCTCCTGCGAAAGCAATTGAAAAAAATAGTGAATTCTAAATGATTTATTGAAAATTGGGTAAGATATGGTGTGGACTAAGATGTGAAAAAGTTCCCTGGAAATTCAGGTTTGAGGAAAAGATTAGCACCACGAGAGCTGCTCAAGAATTGGTGCAAAGGGCCAAGTAAACCTGTCAAGAAGATGAAGGGCTACCACCGCAAAGGTGACCCCATTTTCCTCCTCTGCTGCACATACTCACCTCACAGCTGCCCTCACAAGAACTGGTAGACAGAGATCTTCCCTGTTTGTAAAGCATAAACTAGATGAATACAGATTACCTGGGCGCCAGTACTAAGGAATGACATTCAGTTCTCCTTTGAAGGTTGAATGGTAAAAGTGGAAGCTCTGGTCTCAGAGAGCACAGAAAGCCAGAGAAAGACTGAACTTCTGTGTAGCAATGATGGTCAGTTGCACGAAGCTCAGATGTCTGCCTACTGATCTAAGCAGGGCTATTGAGTGGGTGGTCATAGGCAGAGTACTTTCAGCTTCTGTCGCCCTGGAGAGTTGAATATCCAAAGTTCCTCATTAGTCAAGCTCTTTTGTTGTCATTTGTATCTCAAGACAGTACAAATCTTCAAGGAGTAAGGCTCAGAGAATGAACTTTGGCTGAATTCCATATCCCCAAAGGTTAGTCATATGCTATCTTCCTCCTTCCAGCATTTTCTGTACAGATCTATTTCAAGGACATTTAAGTATATGGTCATACTTCCCTTCTGTGATTGATTCTAGATTTCTTTCTTTAGGTACACTGAATGAAAAGTCTATCCTAACACCAATGTCAGAAAGATTAACAGCATATTTAGGCTCACAGATACAATTATACACATAATTATATCATCTTTGTACATATTTATATATAGTCACTCATCTTTCATCTTCATGCTGTGATGGCTTAAATTTTGTTGTGGTGTTAGAAGCTTTGCCACTGGCTTAATTCAAATGTCAGGAGGATCACCCAGGATGGATAAGTTTCAGCTGAGCTTCCTGACTAAGACAGACAAGGAAGATGCACCGGGCAATCTACTTCTAAAAATATTTACCTAGTGAAAGTTTTATGAATAGCAGTGAATCAGTGTACATTATGGTTCTGAAAGACCACCATTAGGCAAAGCTGTTATAAAATACATTTTTTAAAACTGTTAATGAGCAAAGATGTCACTTTGAGGACCAAGCTGTGCCTTAGACAAACCATGATATTTTCAATATGCATGTGGAAGCTGGACCACTAATAAGGAAGGTGGATGAAGAATGTATGCCTTTAAATTATGATGTTAATAAAGAATATTGATTATGCCATGGACTTCCAGAAGAATGAACTACTACATGACTCACAGTGACCCCATGTATGGCAGAAAAAAATATTACCAACTTGTGGCAATTACATAATCTGTCAACTTGTGAAGGGTGGAATTTAGCCTGTCAATCAGGTCACAGCTTGATGACCTTATTTGGAGGTACTATGGAGATAAATAGCCCACTGGAGTTAAGATCCACACATTCTCTGCTTCGTCTCCCTGATGACAATCCACATGGAGCTACTCAGATGCAGCCAGAACCCTGAAACTGGAGGAGCCATGTGGAGACACACATCAGTGCTGAGATGCTTCCACCACCACTGGATACACAAGACACTCCACCCACTGGCCTGTGATCTCCCTGCATTCAGCATCAGTGCATGGCTACATGACTCTAAAGAGGAATTTATGGACTAGTATTGAAATATGGGGTAATATCAGATTTATGGACTTGATCTGGACTGGGCTGGGATGTTTTCTTAATGTACAATTGTTCTTTGATATGAAGCCCTCTCTTACACACACATGAGTGTCTCTGGATTTGTTTCTCTAGTCAACCTAGACTAACACACCCCTCCTGTGCTTTGTTCATAGTAATTGCTTTGTTTGAGGCTATTTTTTTTTTCATCGTTGCCCTTTACTTTACCAAGTATGATATCCTTCTCCAGAGACTGGTTCCATTCTGATTACATGTCCAAAGTATATGAGATGAAAACTTACCATATTTGCTTTTAAGGTGAATTCTGACTGTGTCCAAGATTACAGACTTGGAAATCCAATGGGCAGTTCTGTTCTGTCTTATAGGGTCACTATGAATAG